ATCTGTGGTGTGACTGAGTAGATTATCTGTGGCGTGTCACTGAGTAGAGTATCGGTGGTGTCTGACTGTTAATTTTCTAAGGCATTTGACTGAGTATCTGCAGTGTGTGAAGGGGTAAATTATCTGTGGCATGTGACTTAGTAGATTATCTGTGGTGTGTGACTGAGTAGAGTATCTGTGGCGTTTGACTGAGTAGAGTATCTGTGGCGTGTGACTTAGTAGATTATCTGTGGCGTGTGACTGAGTAGATTATCTATGGCGTGTAACTGAGTAAATTATCTGTAGTATGTGACTGAGTAGATTATCTGTGGTGTGTGACTGAGTAGATCATCTTTGGTTTGTGACTGATTAGATTATCTGTGGCGTGTGACTGAGTGGATTATCTGTGGCGTGTGACTGAGTAGATTATCTGTGGCGTGTGACTGAGTAGAGTATCTGTGGCGTGTGACTGAGTAGATTATCTGTGGCGTGTGACTGAGTAGACTATCTGTGGCGTGTGACTGAGTAGATTATCTGTGGCGTGTGACTGAGTAGAGTATCTGTGGTGTGTGACTGAGTAGAGTATCTGTGGCGTTTGACTGAGTAAAGTATCTGTGGCATGTGATTTAGTAGATTATCTGTGGCGTGTGACTGAGTAGATTATCTGTGGCGTGTGACTGAGTAGATTATCTATGGCGTGTAACTGAGTAAATTATCTGTAGCATGTGACTGAGTAGAGTATCTGTGGCGTTTGACTGAGTAGAGTATCTGTGGCGTGTGATTTAGTAGATTATCTGTGGTGTGTGACTGAGTAGAGTATCTGTGGCGTGTGATTTAGTAGATTATCTGTGGCGAGTGACTGAGTAGATTATCTTTGGCGTGTAACTCAGTACATTATCTGTGGTGTGTGACTGAGTAGATCATCTTTGGTTTGTGACTGATTAGATTATCTGTGGCGTGTGACTGAGTGCATTATCTGTGGCGTGTGACTGAGTAGATTATCTGTGGCGTGTGACTGAGTAGACTATCTGTGGCGTGTGACTGAGGAGATTATCTGTGGCGTGTGACTGAGAAGATTATCTGTGGTGTGTGACTGAGTAGAGTATCTGTGGCGTTTGACTGAGTAGAGTATCTGTGGCGTGTGATTTAGTTGATTATCTGTGGCGTGTGACTGAGTAGACTATCTGTGGCGTGTGACTGAGTAGATTATCTGTGGCGTGTGACTGAGTAGACTATCTGTGGCGTGTGACTGAGTAGATTATCTGTGGCGTGTGACTGAGTAGAGTATCTGTGGTGTGTGACTGAGAAGATTATCTGTGGTGTGTGACTGAGTAGAGTATCTGTGGCGTTTGACTGAGTAGAGTATCTTTGGCGTGTGATTTAGTAGATTATCTGTGGCGTGTGACTGAGTAGAGTATCTGTGGCGTGTGATTTAGTAGATTATCTGTGGCGTGTGATTTAGTAGATTATCTGTGGCGTGTGACTGAGTAGATTATCTGTGGCGTGTGACTGAGTAGATTATCTGTGGCGTGTGACTGAGTAGACTATCTGTGGCGTGTGACTGAGTAGAGTATCTGTGGTGTGTGACTGAGAAGATTATCTGTGGCGTGTGACTGAGTAGAGTATCTGTGGCGTTTGACTGAGTAGAGTATCTGTGGCGTGTGATTTAGTAGATTATCTGTGGCGTGTGACTGAGTAGAGTATCTGTGGCGTGTGATTTAGTAGATTATCTGTGGCGTGTGACTGAGTAGATTATCTTTGGCGTGTAACTGAGTACATTATCTGTGGTGTGTGACTGAGTAGATAACTGAGTACATTATCTGTGGTGTGTGACTGAGTAGATCATCTTTGGTTTGTGACTGATTAGATTATCTGTGGCGTGTGACTGAGTAGATTATCTGTGGCGTGTGACTGAGTAGATCATCTTTGGTTTGTGACTGATTAGATTATCTGTGGCGTGTGACTGAGTAGATTATCTGTGGCATGTGACTGAGTAGAGTGTCTGTGGCGTGTGACTGAGTAGATTATCTGTGGCATGTGACTGAGTAGACTATCTGTGGCGTGTGACTGAGTAGATTATCTGTGGTGTGCGACTGAGAAGATTATCTGTGGTGTGTGACTGAGTAGATTATCTGTGGTGTGTGACTGAGTAGAGTATCTTTGGCGTGTGACTGAGTAGATTAATAGACTACTACTATTAATAGACACTTAGATTATCATTTATTAGACTGTTTATTAGTTTTATCTTTATCAGTTTTGGTTTCTTCTCACTGCTTCGTTTCCTATAAATAGACTTCGTGTAAACGTTGTGTTTCTGATTATATTCTACACTACAGTCGTTTTCCTTTGGTCACAATTCTGTTCAATCATAAAGAAGATTAAAGTCCTCTGTTCAGCTGTTGGTGTAATCTGTGCACTGATGAAGCAGCAGAGAAGAAATACTTAGTCTGTCCTGATCAATCAGACTAAACTTGTCTGATCTCACTGATCAAAGATAGAACAGAAAATATTCAAACTCTCCAAAAAATAGAAACTGCAGAAAAAACTAATTAATTTAAAAACAACTTGCATTTAAAACACATTTATCAGACACATCAAAGCTGCAAGTGGAGCTACATAGTGAGTGTGATAAATGGTCACTCTGTGTTTGGAGATTTATAAAATGTGTTTCTTCATTTGAGAGCAGAGACACTGTGTCCTGAATTGAGTGGAAGAAACTAAGAAAAGCTGTGAAAGAACGAATGAAAAACACTTTGTTTATTATGACTTTCAGTTACTAGTTAACAAACAGTTTAAACAGATAGAAGCCAAACTTAAAATAACCTGAAATGTGGTCAGATTATTAAACCAGTCAGTTTATTACACTTATCTATTAAACTTTCAGTTTATTACATTATTCTTTAATTAATTAAATCAAGACTTAAGTGAGTTATTACAAGATTTAGTGTGTTATTACATTACGTGATTTAAATTTTTCTCTATTTATTTTATAATGTAATAAACAGTGTATTATGTAATATCTCACTACATTGTGTGTTACAGTGTTTATTATATTATTGGAGGAGGATTTTATTACATTATCAGCATTTATTACATTATGTGTTTGTATAATATTTGTGTTATTACACTGTGTGTGTTGGGTCAGTCTGTCTCTGGGTGTGAGGGTCACTGCTTTAGACAGATCTCCTCCATTTGATCTGCTGGATGATCTTTACATGATGCTGTGGGATAATATTCAATACACAACATGCATTCAGTTTATAATATAATGCAGTTTATTTCACACAGTAAACTATTAAGGTGTGTGTTGGTTAGAAGATCAGTGAAGGTCACTTTCCCCCTGTCCCAGTCCAGCTGCACTCTGACCCTCTGCAGCTTCTCTTTAGGTGTGAAGGAGAGAACTGACTGTCCTGGACAGCGTATCCAGATTGTATTACCGCTTTTACTGTAACCCAGACTCCACACTGAACCCCAGAAAGAGTCTCCTCTTCTTGTTCCAGACTCTGGTATCACACCCAGTTCCCAGCTATCACTGTCTCCAACCTTTATGCCCCAGCAGTGTGTCCCTGAGTTAAAACCCTCAGAACCCAGAACACACCAGGTCTTTTAAAATCTCTCTGGATTATCAGGAAGTGATGATCTCTGGTTTCTGTCTTCTACAGCAGTGAGATCATCAGACAGGTGGAGGTGTGGATGTGCAGTGTTGGGGTCCAGAGTAATTACAATTACAATACCATTACAAAAATTACAATTATTATATTATCATGAATTATAAAAACTTTCTCTCTTGATCAAATGACAAGGTAAAATCTAATCTCAACACATTTACTTAATACCTGAAATCAAATTAATTCAGGAATATCAATTCATTCATTCATTTTTATCTGTTTTGCTCCTGTATGGGGATTAATTAAATCTTTTTGTGGTTAATTGATCTATTGTTTTGTTTTTTTTTTTTGTCATTACGTAATACTGATCTATATGTTATTATATCTATTATCTATATTATTGTCACTATGATATATAAATAACTATTTATAAACTACATTATTCTGGTTTGCTGTGCAGAGAACAATTAATTTGGTTTTGATCAGATAAAAAATTTAATATGAAGACACGCTGCAAAAAAGCCCCCTTCAGCACACTGACTAAATATATTATTTACTCAGATTTTTATTATAAAATCATGAAGTTTTTCACTGGATTTTCACTGGCTAGCTAACATTAGCATTACGTGCAATCTGTAGTGATTGTTATCTAGAATTAGGGAACATTTAGAGCTGTAGATGAGTTTGTACATCCTCACCTGATCTGCTCTGACATGACCAATAATAATAATAATAATAATAATAATAATAATTATTATTATTATTATTATTATTATTATTATTATTATAACACAAAGTAAATTACATGAATAGTGTTGTGTAATTAGTATAATAACATACTTTTTAATTAATGTATAACTTAGTATTTTTAAGTATTGGTACTTATATTTGCATTTTAATTTGATATATTTGAAAAATATAACAAATAATAATATATGTTAAAATAATACAATTTGCATTTTAGTTTGATTTATTTGTGTCTTGATATTTGTCTCAATTTCAATATAAAATATAATTTTAATGTTGTACTTGGATTAATAACACAATAACAAACATATTTAATTATAAAAATAATGTATTTTTTATTTAATAATAAAAATGATACTTAAATGTAAAAAAGCATAAATATGTTTTGTAACAGTGTAAACTTTAATTAGATTTATTTGTGATTAAACATTGATTCTTCTTTCTTCACTCGAGTATATTTTTATCTCCACACTTCACATTTTATCTGAGTGAGATTTCTGCACAGTACAGTATTCATACTTTCACTTAAGTACAGTTTCAGTGTCCTTTTTACACCCTGAATAAAGAGAACATGATAACATGTTACTAATAGTTTATAAACAGTGTGTCATTAGTGCAGAAGCAGACTGTGTGTGAGAGATCAACCCTAAGAGAAACAGAACTTACTGTACTGGAGAATCTCCTGCATGTTCTCCCACACTCTGAACTTCAGGTTGGAAAGGTGTTTCACTACATTGATCAGAGCTCCTGATGTCTTCTCTGGATCCTTTGGTGTGAGCTGAGCTCTGAAAATAGAAGATTGTGTGAAATATATCACTGTAGAAACTTTACAGCCTGTAATTTATTTGACTAAATATCAATATTTGATGACATTTATTGTCTCGAGAGTCAATAATTCTGTTGTTTCTGTTAAATAAATATTTCTGCTACTGTTCTCATCACTACAACATTAACACACAATCCTTATTCACCTTCATTTCATTATAATACACTCATATTTACAATAAATACAATATACTGTAGATTTAAATGTAATAATGACTTTAACATTAGATAATAAATAATAATAAAATAATAATAAAATGTGTGATCTGACATTTACTCACTGTTTCTCTGTAGACTTGAAGTTCTGAGAGGGAAACAAAAAGAACATTGTAATTAAAAGTGAAGAGAATTTTCAGGTGTTTTTCATATGAAACACACAAACACCAACAAACAGCCAAGTTAGTGACATTATCTATCATTTCATTCTCAATAAAACTTCACCTTCTAAATAACTACCTAATCAATATTCATTATGTTTATTATTTATAAATAAATCTAATCAGTCAGATGTTGATAAAGTAGTTTGACTGGATGAATTTTGAGAGGCAGGGATCACAAACTAGACCGACGAGCAAAATGCAAACAAATCCATCAACCAATCATCAACAAACAAATGCAGGTGAAGATCTAATGAGGCTCACTTGGAAACACGGCTAAGAATTACAGGAGAACCACCAACAACAGAACCAGAGCCAAACTAACACAACAAGCAGCAGGTTTGTGGATGATGAGGCGGCAGAGCCGGAATGTTCAGAGGATCCAGGAGAGGCTCCACTGATAATCAGATACAGAGTCAGAAGATCTGCTCATTTCTTTCATTTTAATTAACAAAATGAAGTCAGTGGTAATTAGTGTGATTTTGCTAATTCTACTTTGGCTTTGATTGAATTTGCTAACAGTTGTGCAGATTACAGTGTCAGTTATTTGGTTTATTTTACTGCTGTTTGTTTTTGCTACAGTTTAGGTTCCTTTTCTGGGAGACACTGTTCACATCTGAGTGTTACTATATTAGCAATATGCTAACAGACAAGCTAGTCTTCAGTTAATGACTCAGTTTGCCAAGTGTGTTATCACTGTGTGTGCTTAGAGCGCCCTCTGTTGGAATCTGCACTGTAGTACCAAATTCACCTTTCACTTTATATCTCAGCACTGATTATTAACAGAACCAGTACAAGAAACTTCAATATATTATCCAGATTGTTTTAGTGACATTTGCTAATGAATAATTTACACATTTGATCAAATAGCATGTTTTGTACCCAAGATTCATGCTTGTTTTCTGATTTACACGAATCATTAAACACACCTCTACACACCCAAACACTCATATTCAGATCCTGTTTCTGTTTGATGAGCATCTTATGGAGAAAACAATTAAAGCTTCTTATTAACTCAAGCTGTGATCAGCTATCAGGTCAGATCTTTGGGGTGGCAAAATGTAGCAGCTGCCACATCCTTCGTATTGCTGACCACCCCAATTCTGCAGCACTTAAAATATGATGTCATATTGTATTAAGCATAAAGTTCTAAAATGGGCAAGAGTATTATGGGGAAAAAACTATTATCAGTTAATTAGGTGTCATATCATTCATTCACATGGACACAAGAATTCAAGATGCCCCTTGTTTGCACAGGCCACTATCAAACTGCAGTGCAGTCGGCTGAGGAGAGGGTGAGTACAAATGAAAACAGAGCCTTTCAGAGTAAAATTTCTCCTGAAAAAGTGAGTCATTTATAAAATTAAATCCAGTATTCATATCGATATCATAACACAACTACATACACAGCACTTATAGTTCAGTGATGAACACACACACAAGCGTGTGCAGAGACGTTGTAAAGGAGGAGACAGGACACTGGATGGAAAAGAATTGGAAAGCTCATTCAACATGGCATCAGTTTATTAGGAAAGCCCCACCTCCAATAAAATGAGCCAATCAGCTTGCTGGTTAAGCCGCTAGCGAAGCTCCCCTTCTTTGAGGAGGTATGCGCATGCGCAGTAGCCAGAACAAGCTGAAAAATCGTTTTTTTATGTGACTGGAAATAACTGCCCAGGGATGTTGTAAAGATAGCCGTCAAGAGGACAGTTTTCCCTATAAGGACTTTGTGTCATTAGCTATATAACTAACTTCTTAGCTTGAAAGTTAAATGAATAACTATATTTACACTGGAGTTGCATTCATTCCACAGTTAACATTCACTTTCTGAACTGCAGTTAAATTCATCTCAAGACAAATTCTCGGCCCTGCAGTCGACCTTAGGAACTGCTGCTATCAAGCTTTTTGTTTGTTGTGCCTGCGCTGAGTGGACACATGCTTTACAGTGGTAAGCAGTGTTGGTGTGGTAAATGTAAAAGAGCTTTTTCATTCATGTGAATAGTCCGGCTAATGTTGGTAGAAATCTTGGTAAAGCTATAATTACGCTGTAGAGATATCTACGTGGTGATCCTCCCCTTTCATACTAAAACAAAAAACTCACATTTTTTTTTTCTAAAACAATGATGTTGGTATGGAAAGAGAAAAGAAGTAGTTTTTTTTTGTGTGTGTGACAGAAACAAAGAAAAAAAGAAGAAAGAAAGATTCTTACCTGTAAGAATAGAACATCCTCAGCTTCCATTTCCTTCTCTATGTTTCTGATTGTGTCTGAAAGAGATGATATTTCTCCATTCATCTCCTCAATCTTCCTCCTCATCATCTGATTCTTCTGCTCCTCTTCCTCCTTCAGTGCAGCTATCCTTGCTGCTTCTTCATCTCTTAGAAACGGGTGAAGCTTCTCAAACTCCTCCTTTATCTGCCTCTCTGTGTGCTGGGCCTGCGTCTGGAATGAGAGACCATCAGGAAACTCAAACTCTAACAGATGATCTACAAGCATTTACCACCTACAGGAGAAGTGGACACTCATCAGAAACATTACCTCAGCAACATGTTTCACAATTCAAGATGATGTTTCACCTTAATGTGAGCTGCTGTTTGGTCATAGTCTTGTTTAGCTTCCTCTAAGACTTTCCGAGTCTTTTCCAGAGAGTCCAAAATTCTCTTGAGTTTTTCCTGCAATTAAACAGTACTTAAAAAAATGCATTCTATCTCTTTTGAAATATTTGAACATAAAATATAAACCTGGTTACGGTGGTGCTGAGAAGTTTTATAGCTTAGTGAATGAAACAACAGGACATGTTTATGACTTAACTATTCTAGGCCTTGGCCATATCTTCTGCCCTTTGACACACCACACACAGGCTGCTGATCAACCAAACAGAAGAGTTTGAGTTTCTCATTGTGCAGACTGCAGAGCACCTCAGACCCTGCTGAAGATCTCTGACTCCTGCTCTCTAGAAAAGACTCACAAAGGTTCTTCAGTACAAGGTTACGAGGAAGATATTCTTTTAATGATCTTCTTCTGCAAACTGGACATTCTCGAGATCCCTTAGTTTCCCAGAACTTCTGCAGGCAGGTTTTACACACACTGTGGCTACACGACAGAACAACAGGATCCCTGAAGATTTCACAGCACACAGGACAGGAAAGCTCTTCTTCTGAAAGAGGGTTTCTAGCAGCCATTTCCTCCAACTGCTGCTGTGCTGTTTCTCTGTAATGGCTCCTTTAGTCTCCACTTTCTCTTTTAGGACGTCTGTAATGATCAGAGCAGCACAGTTGAGAATCAGCCACCGTAGCCCTTCAACCCACTGAGTGAGTTTTAGCTCCTTTCAGAATCACACATCAAGAAACACATACTGTCACTGTTTAAAAGCTCCTCATTGGTGTCTCTGAATGAAGTGAATGTAGAGTGAAGAAAGATCAGAGAGACAGTAAGAGATTCACTTCCTCCAACAAATGTAAGGAAGTGTAGAGGAGGAGGAGCTTTGAAAAGGAGGAGTCAGTCAGATGTTCTATTCTAACTGTGTGTTTTCTACACTAGATGGCCGCAGTTCAGTAATAACCTGAAACAGGGAGCTCTCAGATGAGTCGATGTTTCTAAATTATTAGTTCATTTCAGCAAACAGAATCCAGGTCTTAAAAATTAAACACGTAAACTATGGGGAAAGATTAATTTTATATTGTAAATACCTTTTGACTCATTTTTCCCCCTGCACAAATTTACATGAATAGTGATACACAAACATTCACTGTATTTTGTCATTTTTCTTGTTGTAGATATTTTTGTTGTTTGTGATCTTCTTCTCCTGCTTCTTCTTCTTCTTCTTCTTCTTCTTCTTCTTATTATTATTATTATTATTACTATTATTATTATTATTATTATTACTATTATTGTTGTTGTTGTTGTTGTTGTTGTTGTTTTTATTGCCACCAGTTCCCCTCCACACCTACAGAGGTCTCTCTCTCCTCAGTGCTGACAAAGAATTAAGGAACTGATCCAGGCCCAGCTTCCCAAATGTACTTTTACTAATAGATCCTTTCAGGAAACCCAGCACTGATTAGTTCAGGAGGGTAAGGTTTGTTCAACACTGCCCCTTCCTGGGACTCTGAAATCAAGCCTCCTTTGAAACTCCAGCCCCAGTCACAGCTGCCTCCGTGCCTTCCCCTCATTTAACCAGCTCCTCTAGATGACACCCACATCCCTTAGCCAGAAACCTATGGAAGTGGAGAAGGCACAGCTAACAGTAGAGGAGAGAAAACGAGGGATTGTTGACTGCATACCCCTCTATTGTTGCTGAGCTGGTCATATGTGCACTTTATGTCTGGGATGTACTAGTGGTGGAGAAGTGACAGATCCCACTTACGGTACTTCGGTTCAACCCCCTCTGCTGTTGAGAGCAGTAGACGATTGCCCATTGGGAGAAGCATCAGTGCCTGGAGCTAGGAATTTCTATGGCTAATTCAAACCAAGTAGACACAAGCCAAGTATTTCATGGTGAAATCAGTAAGTGAGGATTGGATTGTTTTTTAAAAATGTGACGGTTTGCCTTTACAAGCAATCTCTGCTTGCTAGCAAAGCTGAAGGGTAAATTGTCCCTCTACAGGCCATGGGACTATTTACATATTTCCAGGAACCATAACACCTAACAAAATTTATCCACTGTCAAACTCAGCATCTAAAGGGGTACACTGATAAGGATACATTACCTCCTTCACTTCTCCAGCTGCGGTGAGCTTCTTATTTATAGAAAATAAAGATGGTGGTTTACAGCCCTGTATAGACTACTGTGGTCTAAATTCATTCACTTTAAAGTACCGTTATCCACTGACCCTAATCCTGGCCACACTTGAACAGCATCAATTTTCACTAAATTAGATTTATGAAGAACATGAAACCTCAATAGAACAAGAAAAGGTGACAAGTGTAAAACTGCTTGTGACCTCTACGGGGCACTATGAGTAAATAGGTATACCACACATCCCGTCCAACACCTTGTCCCTGTTCTAGCCTTCATTGGTACAGTGCTCTAAAACATTAGCTGGGATTGCTGGGTAATCATATAAATAATATACATATATACTTACTTTTTTGGTGGAACACAATACAAATATAAAACACACTTTTCATCATTACTATACAAATGATAGCAATGATGAAAAATGTGAATTTCATAAGGAACAGGTGTTCTTTCTAAGTTACAACTGAGATGATAATATATATATATATATATATATATATATATATACCAGATAAATGCTCATGGATGAGAGCACGGTGAGTGCTGTGGTGAAATGTCCCAAACCCAACATTTTTTGAAGATTTTCAAAGATTTCTTTTTTCTGTTTTATTTGTTATTGTTAATCAAGACTACATTTGTTTTAATATGACTGTAAACTTTAGTGTGCATAAGCATGTTATTCAGTTTTTTTTCTAGCTCTTCCTAAAACAGTTTTCCAGTTTTGTTTTCTTCACATTCCTTCATTTCCTATAAATAACCACTTTGTGTAATCATTGCTTTTCTGATCATACAGTGCAGTAGTACAGTAGTTTTCCTTTGGTCATAATTCTGTCCAATCATAAAGAAGATTAAACTGATGAAGATCCAGTGAGTTGAGTCTATGTAATGCAGGCAGTCTGTCAGTCCTAAAAGACACTGTAAAGCTCTCACTCCCTCATATTTCTAAAGAGTCTTAATAATTCCAGCTCCATCCAAGCAGACAGTGATGGACTGCTTATGTAGAATCACCAATAAAAGTCCTCTGTTCAGCTGTTGGTGTAATCTGTGCACTGATGAAGCAGCAGAGAAGACATATTTAATCTGTCCTGATCAATCAGACTAAACTCTTTTGATCTCACTCATCAAAGACAGACGCTGAAAATCTTGTAATTTTCCTATTGTTACAAAAATAAAGGTCTTTAAAGGATTTAAAATCCATGTTACATTTCCTTTCATAGCAACTTGAATGTCTAAACAAATCCAACACTGAATGAGTTTTAAATTCTTCTATTTTCATTTTTCTACATATTTATCAGAAATATTAAAACTGTAAAATCAACAGTGCTGTATCTGATACCAGCACCAAACACACTACCATCCCTCCACCATGTCAGTGTCACTGCTGTGCTGATAATGATTCACCACCCAAATCATATCTGCTCAGTGGTGGTCTTATGGTGGTCTTTTTCAATGGATGGAGGGGGTAGAGGGGGGCTGATAAACTGTGCAACAACAGATCAACAGCAGTCTGTAACTGTAAACCTACAAAGTGCAGCTATATGGTAGGTGTTTCTGATAAAATGGCCACTGAGTGTAGTGCGTGTAATAAATGGTCACTCTGTGTTTGGAGATTTATAAAATGTGTTTGTTCATTTGGAAGCAGAGACACTGTGTCCTGAATTGTGTGGAAGAAACTAAGAAAAGCTGTGAAAGAACGAATGAAAATCTGAACCTTTGTTTATCATGTCATTCAGTTAATAGTTAACACATAGTTTAAACAGATAGAGCACACACTTAAAATGACCTGAAATGTGGTCAGTGTTATTACACTTTCAGGTTATTACACTATTCTTTAAATAATTAAACCATGACTTCAATGTGTTAAACAATTAGAGGAGTTGATTTAATGTGTTATTACATTATGTGATTATTTTAAAAAGTAATCAAAAAAGTTTATAATGTAATAAACAGTATATAATGTAATATCTCACTACATTATGTGTTACAGTGTTATTATATTATTGGAGGATGATTTTATTATGTTGTCAGCAGTTTATTACATTATGAGTTTGTGTAATATTTGTGTTATTACACTGTGTGTGTTGGGTAAGTCTGTCTCTGGGTGACAGATCTCCACCATTTGATCTGCTGGATGATCTTTACATGATGCTGTGGGATAATATTCAATACACAACATGCATTCAGTTTATAATATAATGCAGTTTATTTCACACAGTAAACTATTAATCTCTGGACCAAAGCAGAGTTTTAAAGATCTAATGATGGAGAAAAATGCAGGATGATACAGAAATAAAATCTACACTGAAAATGAGTGAAATCTCACTCAAATAACATTTCTAATGTTGTAATGATATCAGTAGTCACTCTATGACACTTTAAATCAGCATTTTGTTTCCACACAGACATGTTAGGATGGAATGATACAAACACATTATTTAAAATATACATGTAATGACATATTCTTATGATCATAATTCAGACACTCACTACCTGTATAAATGTTCATTCTAAGCAACATCAACTTTAACTGTGCTGTTCCACTGTTACTGACGTCTTCACTGGTAAGATCCTCAGAGGATGATCAGACCCATTACAGAAAAATGGTAAAACTCTCTCAGTGAAAGTGTGTGTTATAGTGTGCAGGTGTGTGTTGGTTAGAAGATCAGTGAAGGTCACTTTCCCCCTGTCCCAGTCCAGCTGCACTCTGACCCTCTGCAGCTTCGCTTTAGGTGGGAGGAGGAGATTCGACTCTTCTGGAGAGTATTGACCAAAAACATAACCTAGCCTCCACAGTGAACCACCGAAAATAAATCCTTTTCTTGTTGCAGACTCTGTCATCACACCCAGTTCCCAGATATCACTGCCTCCAACCTGGACGTCCCAGTAGTGTGTCCCTGAGTTAAAACCCTCAGAACCCAAAACAAACCAGCCAACATCAAATCTCTCAGGATTATCAGGAAGTGATGATCTCTGGTTCCTGTTTTCTACAGCAGTGAGATCATCAGACAGGTGGAGGTGTGGATGTGCAGTGTTGGGGTCCAGAGTAACAGGGGCTGAGGAGAGAGAACACAATGAAACATCATGTTTTTCTCTCATTTCTGTAAATGTTTTACCTCTACAGACTATTTTCTTTACTGTGAGTAAAACAGCTTTAGAGGTCGATTCCAGAACACAGATCAACTTTAATCCTGGACTAAATGTTGATGTTCAGTTCAGTGCAGCACTAAAGTGTATGTTCAGTAGTGAATGGTCATTATAGTCCAGTGACAGATCTAATCTGAGTGCAGCCTTTTTCTGTAGTGATTCACTCACAGAGCTTACCATTTTCACACTCACTGACATCGAAATCATTTTTACATTATCTAAAATAATCTTGTTTCCAAAAAAACGGGGATGCAGTGCAAAATGTAAATAAAAACAGAATGTCATGATGTGCAAATCATTTAAATCCTATATTCGATTGAAAATAGTATGAAGACAACATATCAAATATTGAAACTGAGAAAATGTATTGCTTTTTGAAAAATATTTGTCCATTTTAAATTTGATGACAGCAACACATTCCAAAAAAGGTGGGACGGGGGCATGTGTACCACTGAGTTTCATCACCTCTTTTTTTAACAACACACTGTAAGTGTTTGGCAACTGAGAAAACCAATTGCTGTAGTTCTGAAGATGTTTTCCCATTCTTGTTTGATATAGGATTTTAGCTGCTCAATAGTTCAAGGTCTCCTTATTCCTATTTTCATATTTTCGCCAAATGTTTTCAGTGGTGAAAAGTCTGGACTGCAAACCAGCCAGTTTAGCACCTGGACTCTTTTACTATGTAGCCATGCTGTTGTACTATATGCAAGTCATCTAGGTGGCAGCATATATTACTCCAAAATGTGTATATATCGTTCAATGTTAATAGTGCCTGGACAGATGTGCAAGTCACCCATGCCATGTGCATTAATGTACCTCCGTACCATCACAGATGCTGGCCTTTAAACTGTGTGCTGACAACAAGCCTGACAGACCCTCTCCTCTTTAGTCTGGAGGACATGGTGTCCATGGTTTCTACAAAGAATTTCAAATGTTGAATTGTCAGACCACAGGACACTTTTCCACTTTGCCTCAGTCCACCTTAAATGATCTCAGGCCCAGAAAAGGCGGTGGCTTTTCTGGATTTTCTGGTTTCTCCTTTGCGCTTTAGAGTTCTAACTTGCATTTAAGGATGCAGCAATGAACTGAGTTCACAGACAGTGGTTTTCAGAAGTGTTTCTGAGCCCATGCAGTGATTTCCACCACATAATCATGTCTGTTTTTAATGCAGTGCCGCCTGAGGGCCCAAAGATCACGGCCAGCATATACTGGTTTTTGGCCTTGTCCATTGCATACAGAGATTTCTCTGGATTCTCTGAATCTTTTAATCATATCATGTACCATAGATGACGAAAACCCCGAGTTATTTGCTATTTTATGTTGAGACATATTATTCTTAAATTGTTGCACGATTTGATCATGCAGTCTTTCATAGAGTAGTGTACACCTCCTCATCTTTACTTCTGAAAAACTCAGCCTCTCTCAACTGACCTGCTGCCACTTTGCCTAATTAGCTGTGAGATGTTCCACCAGGTGTTTTTTAGCATGCCAGAACTTTTCTTTCTATATTTTTCCAAAAACAATAAAATTTCTCAGTTTCTACATGTAATATGCTGTCTTTGTAATATTTTTTATTAAATGCAGGATTTAAATGATCTCCATGTCATTGCATTTTGTTTTTATTTACATTTTGCACAGCATCCCAACTTTTTTTTTTTTGGGAACGGGGTTGTATACCTTTAATATATATTCTGTAGTTATATTAGATAAATAATAATAAATCTAAATTAATTGTCTGTCTTGTTCAAATAACAGCATAAAATCTAATCTCTACATATTCACTGAATGTCTGTGATGTGATTAATTCTGAAATAATTTCATCTGTATCACTGAATTCCTGGGATTTATTACCTCAGAATATTTTTGTGGTCATTAAGACACAATTTGACATTTGCCCCAATTTCAATTTTAAAATATTATCTCTAGCATTGTACTTGGACTAATAACTAAGACTAGAAATTATATGAAAAAATATACTTGAACATAAAAAATGACAAGAAAACCTTTAAATCATTTTATATCTTTTTTGCTTGATCTAATCATTGATTCTTCTTTCTTTCACTTAAGTATATTTAACTCCATACTTCACATTTTCTATGAATGAGATTTCTGCACAGTACAGTATTCATACTTTCACTTAAGTACAGTTTCAGTGTCCTTTTTACACCCTGAATAAAGACAACATGATAACATGTTACTAATAGTTTATAAACAGTGTGTCATTAGTGCAGAAGCAGACTGTGTGTGAGAGATCAACCCTAAGAGAAACAGAACTTACTGTACTGGAGAATCTTCTGCATGTTCTCCCACACTCTGAACTTCAGGTTGGAAAGGTGTTTCACTACATTGATCAGAGCTCCTGATGTCTTCTCTGGATCCTTTGGTTTGAGCTGAGCTCTGAAAATAGAAGATTGTGTGAAATATATCACTGTAGAAACTTTACAGCCTGTAAATTATTTGACTATCAATATTTTATGACATTTATTGTCTCGAGAGTCAATAATTCTGTTGTTTCTGTTAAATAAATATTTCTGCTACTGTTCTCATCACTACAACATTAACACACAATCTTTATTCACCTTCATTTCATTATAATACACTCATATTTACAATAAATACAATATACTGTAGATTTAAATGTAATAATGACTTTAACATTAGATAAAATGTGTGGTCTGACATTTACTCACTGTTTCTCTGTAGACTTGAAGTTCTGAGAGGGAAACAAAAAGAACATTGTAGTTAAAAGTGAAGAGACTTTTCAGGTGTTTTTCATATGAAACACACAAACACCAGCAAACAGCTGAGTTAGTGACATTATCTATCATTTAATTTTCAATAAAGCATTGCCTTCTAAATAACTACTTAATAAAAATGGATTATTTTTGTTATTGTTATTGTAAGTTGTGTAATGCTAAAAAACACCAAGTGGTTGATTGTCAACAGGTCAGTAACATGGTTGGGTATAAAAAAGCATTTCAGAAGTAAAGAAGAGGAGGGGCTCACCACTCTGTGAAAGCGCAGGCAAATAGTGTAACAATTCAAGAATAACATTTCTCAAGGTAAAATAGCAAAGAACTTTTGCTTTTTATCATCTACAGTACATAGTAGCATTACAAGTTTCAGAGAATCTGGAGAAATCTCTGTATGCAATGAACAAGGCCAGAAACAAGTATTTGCTGGCCATGATCTTTGGGCCCACAGGCGGCACTGCATTAAAAACAGACATGATTATGTGGTGGAAATCACTGTATGGGCTCAGAAACACTTCTGTAAACCACTGTCTGTGAAAACAGTTGATCACTGCATACTTAAATGCAAGTTAGAACTCTATCACAACGAAGAAACTGTATATAAACAGGATCCAGAAATGCTGCCACCTTCTCTGGGCCCGAGCTCATTCAAAAAAGGACTACGGTGAAGTGGGGAAGTGTCCTGTGGTCCGACAAATCAACATTTGAAATACTTTATGGAAATCATGTGTCCTCAGCTTTTTATCAGTGCACAGTTCAAAAGCCAGTATTCATGATGGTATAGGGGTGCATTAGTGCACATGGCATGGGTGACATGCACATCTCTGAAGGCACCATTAATGCTGAATGATACATACAGGTTTTGGCAACATATGCTGCCATCCAGACTACGTCTTTTTCAGGGAAGACCTTCTGCATGTATTACAACAGCATTGCTCCATATTAAAAGATTATGGGTGCTAAACTGGCCTGCCTGCAGTCCAGACCTGCCACCACAGAAAACATTTGGTGGGTTATGAAATGGAAAATACAACAAATGAGCCCCTGAACAGTTGAGCAGCTGAAATGCTGTATAAAACAAGAATGAGAAAACTTTTCATTTTCTAAACTACAGCAGTGTCTCCTCAGTTCCCAAACACTTACAGAGTGTTGTTAAAAGAAGAGGTGTTGAAACACAGTGGTAAACATGCCACGTTTTTTTGGAACGTGTCGTTGGCATCAAGTTCAAAATGGGCATATATTTTTTAAAAAACAATCAAATTTCTCAGATTCAACATTTGACATGTTGTCTTTATAGTATTTTACTTTAAAAATATGATTTACATGCTTTGCATATTATTGCATTCTCTTTTTATTTACATTCTGCACAGCATCTCGTTTTTTTTGGGAAACTACTTATCAACATCTGTCATCAGTCAGTGCAATGCAATGCAAGTTGCCTTCTAATGGAACAGCAGTGTTTTTATGCTACAGTTTAAGTTGCTTTTCTGGGAAACTGTTCACATCTGAGTGGTACTATATTAGCAATATGCGAACTGGCAAGCTTGTCTTCAGTTGATGACTCAGTTTGCCAAGTGTGTGATCACTGTGTGTGTTTAGAGCACCCTCTGTTGGAATCTGCACTGTAGTACCAAATTCACCTTTCACTTTATATGTCAGCACTTATTATTAATAGAATTAGTAAAAGAAAACTCCTTATATTATCCAAAATGTTTCTTTAACATTTATTTATGTATAATTTACACATTTGAGCAAATAGCATGTTATATAGCCAAGTTTTGTTTGTTTTCTGATTTACAGAAACCACACACACACACCTCTACACACCCAAACACACATATTCGAATGTCTCTGTTTGCTGAGCATTTTGTGGAGGAGACAATTAAAGCTTCCTATTAACTCAACCTGGGACCAGCCTTCGGGGCGGATTTATGAGGTAAAAAAAAAGCAGCTGCCACCCCCTCCATAGTGCTTACCACCCCAATTATGCAGACCCTAAAATATTATGCCAAACTGTATTAAGCACAGAATTTTAAAATGGGTAAGAACATTGTATAAAAACTGAAGCTATTAATTAAGTGTCATGTCACTGTTTTGGCTTGACACAACATGTTGACTTTCTGTTTCTGGTTTTCTTGTTGGTGTTTCTGACTCAAGCTCACTGAAGGTACAGCTAACATTTCATTCTCTCGCACTAAATCTCTTTTCAGAATATCAAGTCCATTGATTCTCATACTTTTTTTGCTCTTCTTTAGTCTTCTCCTCTCTCCTTTATTTCTCAGCTCTCCTGTCCTGATGACATTCTATATCTGTTTAATGACACCATTTCTGATATACGTGACCAGTTGGTCCCTCTTAAGACTGGTTTCCACTGGTCATTCCTCCCATTGGTATACCCCTAAACTCCATGCTTTGAAATCCACAGGCTGGTGTTTAGAGCACCTTTAAAAGAAAACTGGTCTCACTGTTCATGCATTAGCGTACTCAGATCATATATTAGATGTAGAGCTTAATTTTTAATTAATGGTACTGGAAATAAGCCCAAAAATACTTTTCTCTAATATTAATAAACTTCTTCACTCTCCCTCTCCTATTCCTTCCTACACTGTTGACCATTGTGAAGTCTTTCGCAGATTTTTCACACACAAAATTAGTAAAATCCGTGAACAATTGCCCTCATACTTCCTCAGCATCTCTCTGTAATAACATCCATCTTAACTCAGCTGTTGAATCCCTGTCTGTTTTCTCTCCTGTTGAACCTGCTCTCATTCCTAGATTATTTGCCAAATCTAATCTTGTTGTTGTTGTTCATTCACATGGACACAAGAATTCAAGATGCCCCTTGTGTGCACAAGCCACTTTCTACCTCTAAATAACACAGAATTGCAGTGCACTCAGCTGAGGAGAAAGTGAGTACAGATGGAAACAGTAGTCTTTCAGAGTAAAGTTTCACCTGAAAAGTGAGTAATTTATGGAATTAAATACAGAATTCATATTAATATCATAACACCATTACATACACAGCAGCTGTAACTGAGTGACGAACGCACACAAGCATGTGCAGAGAGGAGAAAGGACACTGGTTGGACTATGAATGGGTACAAACTATTTATGTTGTTTTCGTAAGATTTTGTCAGTGATTTCAAATGTATTTTTGAAATGTTGATGTGGCTTTTAGTTTCAGTTTTATAGGTCTCTCCTTATTCAAGGAGATAGGAGTCTAGTCTCATATGACTGGAAATAACTGTCCAGGGATGTTGTAAAGATAGCCGTCAAGAGAACAGACTTTCCTATAAGAACTTAGGTGTCATTAGCTATGTAGTTATCTTCTCAGCTTTCAGGTTAAATGAATAAGGTTGTTTACACTGGAGTTTTATTTGTTGCTCAGTTAACATTCACTTGTTCTGAACTGCAGAACTTGCATTCTTCAAGACTTAATTTCAGCCCTCCAGTCGCTGCTTAGCAACCACTGCTATCAAACTTTCTGATCTTTAACTGTGCGTCAGTGTGTCGTGTATTTTGAATTTCGACCAGCTTTGGTCAAAAGATGCGCCTGGAGGATTTTTAAAATTGAGACTGCAACAGGGTAGAATATGTAATTTTTTACTTATTTTCAAAATAAAAAAAGAAATTTACAATCAGCTTGTGTTAAAACTCTTAGATCTGCAAATCTGGCATCAAATGCACTTTTACTACAAAAGCGAAAATGGCTATGTCAAAATATCAAAGCAAATGTAAGTATTTTTCATCTGTTAAATGTTTACTGAGTGGTCAGGGGGTTGTATGGATAGATCACTACATAAATCTGTAATAAATAGACTTTGGTGCCATGTGAAAGTGCCGCCCTGACTCCTTGCCACCCCGGTATGAGTTCTAGATCTGCCACTTCTAGCCATCATCTGTCTTTCTGATGAAGAGGTTTCAGTTGTTGTCTAAGTTACTGGCATCATATACACACAGTACCAACACTGACAATCTCACATGGTGGATTGTTGAGACTGTAAAGATCTTCATAGTGATCTTCCACTTTTCACACTACAATAAAATGACTCCAATTTTCTTTCTCAAATCGTGATGGTATGGAAAGAGAAAAAAAAGTATTTTTTCTTGAGTATCAAAAAGAAAGAAAAAAGAAGGAAAAAAAAGAAAGATTCTTACCTGTAAGAACAGAAAGTCCTCAGCTTCCATTTGTTTCTGTATTTTTCTGATTGTGTCTGAAAGAGCTGATATTTCTCCATTCATCTCCTCAATCTTCCTCCTCATCATCTGACTCTTCTGCTCCTCTTCCTCCTTCAGTGCAGCTATCCTTGCTGCTTCTTCATCTCTTAGAAACTGGTGAAGCTTCTTAAATTCCTTCTTTATCTGCCTCTCTGTGTGCTGGGCCTGCGTCTGGAATGAGAGACCATTAGGAAACTCAAACTCTAACAGATGATCTATCAAGCATTACACCTACAGAGAAGTGGACACTCATCAGAAACATGACCTCAGCAACATGTTTCACAATTCAAGATGATGCTTCACCTTAATGTGGGCTGCTGTTTGGTCATAGTCTCGTTTAGCTTCCTTTAAGACTTTCAGATTCTCCTGTAGAGCGCAAAGCAGTCCATGATGTCTCCTGTAATTAAACAACAGTTCAGATTAGCACATTCTTCAGCCTTTACAAAATCTGATCACTTAAACTATTTAAATGTAACAGTTGTCCTACAGATTACAGAGAGTAATAGCAGTTTTACTTTCTGCTCCAAAATCAGAAGAGATTTATTTTCATTTCTGTATAGTAAGTTTATATCTTGTATTGACATAATTAGTTCAGCTACAGTGCATTTTTTCTGACTGATAGTTCACTTGTGCTGTGTGCTGTTTGCCCTAAAACCACACCCACTGACTGACCTCACCTTCAAAATACAAAACAGCTTAAACTAGTACTGAACTGAGAAAGGATTTATACATTTCAGTTGTGCTACATTTTAGACATCAAAATACTAGAACAAGTTTCCTACCTTAAACTCTGTCACAGCTTCATCAACCGGACAGAATTTGTGATTTTTGTGTTTCTTTGAAGTCTGACACACCACACACACAGACTGCTGATCATCCAAACAGAAGAGTTGAGTTTAAAACATCATTGTGGCAGACTGCAGAGCACCTCAGACCCTGCTGAAGATCTCTGACTCCTGCTCCCTAGAACAGCCTCACAAAGGTTTTTCGGTACACGGTTACAGGGAGGGTTTCCTTTTGAGGATCTTCTTCTACAAACTGGACATTCTCGAGACTCCTTAGTTTCCCAGAACTTCTGCAGGCAGGTTTTACACACACTGTGGCTGCACGACAGAACAACAGGATCCCTGAAGATTTCACAGCACACAGGACAGGAAAGCTCTTCACTCTGAAGAGGGTTTCTTAGCAGCATTTCCTCCAACTGCTGCTGTGCTGTTTCTCTGTAATGGCTCCTTTAGTCCAAACTCCACTTTCACTTTCAGGACGTCTGTAATGATCAGAGCAGCACAGTTGAGAATCAGCCACCGTAGCCCTTCAACCCACTGAGTGAGTTTTAGCTCCTTTCAGACGTCACACATCAAGAAACAAACACATACAGTCACTGTTTAAAAGCTTCTCATTGGTGTCTCTGAGTGAAGTGAATGTAGAATGAAGAAAGATCAGAGAGACAGGATGAGATTCACTTCCTCCAGCAGGTAGACAAGGAGGAGCTTTGAAAAAGGAGGAGTCAGCCAGATGTTCTATTCTAACTGTGTGTTTTCTACACTAGATGGCAGCAGTTCAGTAATAACCTGAAACAAGGAGCTCTCAGATGACATGAGGTTTCTAAATTATTAGTTCATTTCAGTAAACAGAATCCAGGTCTTACAATTAAGCATGTAAACTATGAGGAAAGATTGATTATATATTGTAAATACCTTTTGCCCCATATTTCCTCCTTATTTTGTGCACAAATTTACATGAATAGTGACACATATTCACTGCATTTTATTGTCATATCGTTGTTGTTGTAGCTATTTTTGTTGTTTATGTTCTTCTACTATTTCCTGTTATTATTGTTCCTGCTGACTGGTGGAGTCTGGACATGACTGTTATAAATAGCTGGTGGTTTGGATCCTTGAGAATGGCTCCCTCCCTTTCACTTCTATCTCACTGCCCACATACACCGATCAGCCATAACATTGGACTGTAGTCCATCTGTTTCTCTGCATACTTTGTTAGTCCCCTTTTACCCTGTTCTTCAATGGTCAGGACCCCTACAGGACCACCACTGAGCAGGTATTATTTGAGTGGTGGATCATTATCAGCACTACGGTGACACTGACGTGGTGGTGGTGTGTTAGTGTGTATTGCGCTGGTACGAGTAGATCAGACACAGCAGTACTGCTGGAGTTTTTAAACACCTCACTGAGAATAGTCCACCAACCAAAAATATCCAGCCAACAACGTCCTGTGGGCAGCGTCCTGTGACCACTGATGAAGGACTAGAGGATGATTAGCTCATACTGTACAGCAACAACGCAGGTGTGTCTAATAGAGTGGACAGTGAGTGGACACAGTGTTTAAAAACTCCAGCAGCACTGCTGTGTTGGATCCACTTGTACAAACGCAACACACTCTAACACACCACTACCACCACATCAGTGTTATTGCAGTGCTGAGAATGACCCACTACCAAAATAATACCTGCTCTGTGAGGCTCCAGTGGGGGTCCTGACCACTGAAGAACAGAGTGAAAGGGGGCCAACAAAGTATGCAGAGAAACAGATGGACTACAGTCTGTAATTGTAGAACTACCAAGTGCACCTATACAGTAAGTGGAGCTGATAAAATGGACAATGAGCGTAGAAACAAGGAGGTGGTCATAATGTTATGGCTGATCGGTGTATGTGTCCATTTACAGTTAGGTCTATAATATGCATGGTAACATGATGGTTTTACAGTGGAGATTTTGTAGATTTGTCACATCTGCTGCTGCCAGTTTCTCTTATGGATCAATGAAGAACTATGATATGAGGAATGGATAATTACTTGATAGACATTGTGTTACATCGTTATTTGAAAATGGTGCCATTTCCTTGAGGCAGTCCAACATCCAACCTTAGCACTAACAGATAAATGAAATTTGGAATGTATTAAAGCAGCAAAATGTTTAAACCCCAGACAGAAATATTGGGTTTTGTTTTCCACTCACTTTAACTTCATGGTTTCTTACTGTCCAGGTTAAAAGAAAAATACTGGTGCAAGGCTGACACATTGTCACATATTCTATCATATTAATCACACTGATTAAACGATTCCACAACCATAGTGACACTGATCAGGTGGAGATCCAGAGGAAGTTAGACAATGAATCTTCTCTGAGTAAAAGCTACTACTAGTTCTGGACATCCTGGAATGCAGTACAGGTATTTTACTGAATAGGTTTTGTGAGTTTATGTTAGATAACGATGTGTTTTATTTCGTAATAGGTTGTAATGTGTGCACTCAAGCACAATCCCCACTGCAGCTTCCAGCTGGTCTTCCACAGCCCTTACCTATTCAACAGCATCCCTGGTCACATTTGAACATAGACTCATTTGCTGAATAAGAAGACTGGTCATTATTTCAGGTCATATTGCAGTAGATCTCAGAATGATTGGCCATGTTTTTACTGTGGGTGGAATATGATCAGAATTCTCTAATCAGCTCATCTACAGGAACACTTCTTGTGCAGTGTGTTTTAGGACCATTTAAGGTTCTCAGACCAATAACTCCAGTATCCTATGGGTTAGCACTTCTGATTTGGCTGCTCCCCCTCCTTTTTTGGATGTGGATGGCTCCCCTGCTTACAGTATTTATTAATATTGCTCGTTCCCCTCCATGCCTACAGAAGTTTTTCTTTTCTCAGTACTGAGCCTCTGGCTCACACCTGCACTTGGTGTGGTCAGTTCAGCAGTTCAGATCTTCAGAATGTCTCCTTTGTGTATCTGATTATTCTTGGTGTGATGTATTCACTTGTGAAATCACACAGGTGTTGGTAGCAGAGCTTCATTCAGCTCCACAGTGTTCACTGTTTGGGTCTGTGTTCAGTCCAGTCATTCTTTGGTCCACAGTGGCTAAAAGATTTCTCTTCATTTCTGAATGACAGAGTCTGCAATTTTCAGATTTAAAAAAAAATATTCTCAATGGTCACCACTCAGAATGTAAACAGTTCCTAAAGAAGTTAACCAAGTGCTCTTGGGTCCATGTCAGCTAGATAAACTTTTTTTTCACATGATAATGTCTTTCTTTCCAGCCTGAACACAGCATGTTTAGCTGCACTGCTACACAGGTGAGCATCAATGTCATCAGAGTTTTCAGAGAATTTTAAGTGTGCCATCTTTGTTTTTTTTCTGATTTTTGACCTTTACCCTCATTTGTTAATGACTAGTTGATGGATTTTCCTGTGTTTTGCATGTCTGCCTATCTTGTAATCCCTTCCTATTAAAATCCATGTAGTTACACTACTGATCAACATCTATGTTTTTTATTAATAACAAGTCTAAAGCAATTTTTCCTAATCAATTACAAGATAGAATAGAGTTGTACTGAAAATTAAATGAGAGATTTTTTTTAAATGTCACAATTATTGGCACAAGGAATGTTCCTCTTAGTGTTCAGGAATCTTTAAGCTGTATCTGTGATTTACTGTTTCACAGTAGTATGAATATTTGACAGCACAGAGACACACAATGAGGAGGACAGTTAGAGAAGCATACATTTCTCCAAGGGTGATGATTGGAGATTTGCAGAAGACAGCAGCATCTTGTTGTTTTTGAGCTATTTTTGGCAACAAACACTCAGGGTGGGTTTGGTGTGAAAAGAGGAATGCCCAAAAATATCCTCATCCTCAACATTATGGTGGAGGATCTATGATGTTTTGAAGCTCTTTCTCCTCCAAAAGCCCTGGGAAACTTGTTATGTACATGGCATCATGATCTCTGACCTCACCTTTGATAACCAAAGAAATGAGTCCAAAAGATTAGTCCAATATATTGTCTCATCAAGCGCTATAGTAGAAGACTCATTGCTGCTATGTGGGTCATGCACACTCACGCACACAACCACAACCCCACCCCACACCCCACAAATAACACAACCACAACCCACAACCCACAAAACACACCCACTCTCACACCCAACATACCCAAAAACCAACCCCTTACATCTCTATGGGCAGACTGACTTAGACTCTCCCTGGCTCTGCCCACTCTTCTTCTCTTCCACACAGCTGCACCTCCTTTTGGACTCATTAAGACTGCTTTATTGGCCCCTTTGTTTCCGTCTTGTGTTTGTGAAGTCTCTGTGTTGCAGCCAGATTACCCAAGGAAATTTTGCAGGGGGCTAAAAGAGTATCTCTCCCTGTATAACCAAGTGGGGCAATGGGGACACAGTGGATGCAGAGTTCCCTATGGCAGAAGAGCCATCAGCATGGCCCAGTGTCTGCTCTCTTCACTGCATCTCCTGACCAGCCAGCCTCTGAATTCCCTAACCAGCCGGCCTTACAAATTCCCTGACCAGCCAGTGATCTCCAGACCTTCCCATGGTCTCTGTATCTCCAGTCCCTGCTTCCAGGGCTGCTCTTGTTCCTGTTGCTGCTCCCAGGGCCACTCCTCTTCCTATTCCTGTGCTCCAGGTGGTTCCTGTTTCTAAGCCCCAGGTGGCTCCAGTTTCTGTTCCTGCACCTTGTGTGGCTCCTGTTCCTGTTCTTGCACGTCAAGCAGCCCCTGTTTCTATGCCTCAGGTGCCTCCTGTTCCTTTTCCTGCACCCCAGGTGGCTCCTGGCCCTATCCTCCAAGCTCCTACTGTCGTGGTATCCTGTGTAGCTCCTGTGCTGGCTCCCCGTCATGATCCAGTGTTGGCTTCCCGAGCTGCTTTGTTTCCTGTTCCTGTGCCAGCTCCTGGTCCTGATCCAGTGCTGGCTTTTTGGCTGGTAGCTCCTGTGGTGGCTCCTTGTCACATTCCAGTGCTGGCTACCCACACTGTTCCAGTGCTGGCTACCCA